GGGGGGCTGCAGCCCCCATAGCCCTCCCCCTTGCTACGCCACTGTAATTAGTTATATTACAATAATTTAGGCCGTAGATTAGTACCTAAATATCAATTACTTTTCGTTGTTAGGTACAATATTTTACTTCCAATAAACAACATTGGTTATGTAGGCTTATCATCAATCATAATAATTATCGCTGATCACTAACAAAATTATTTCTTTTATTACAAACACATCACTTTCATAATAAATTAAATTAGTTGCATCACTTCCTATATTAATATATAGAATATAGATTATGACTGACATTCACAATAATAATAAAAAAAAAACGGGTAAGTGGATGTAACTCTGCCGTACAGTAGGCTAAAAGTGGGTTGTTTTGAATAAAATGTGAAATGGTGTGTCAACGGTGATTTGTTTTAGAGTTACACCAATATCCAAAATCGATTTTTCGTAAAACTTCCTGCTCTTTTGGAAACTACAAGGAATTTTAAGTTTTGACCTTCCAATGCCAAAATCGAAACATTATTTTTACAAACTGTAAAGTCAAAACATTTATCGCTCCGCTCAGAATCTAAATTATTTGAATACCTTTTTCTTTGACAACTGTTGAACTAATGTGTATGATTTTTGAAAAAATAATCAAATGAACAATATGACAGAATTAACGGAACTGGTATAGTGAGCGGTGAAACTCGTTCGATGGACATTTTTATTTTTTCGGTCCTCGCGGCAGAATTAAAACCGTGTGCACTGCACATGTGCAGTACTTTTATTCAATTTTGCACCCTACTAGGTCAATTTTTTTTTTTTTCTATTAAAGTATACACAATATATAAATAAGTAAAAATATACAATCTGTATAACATAAATACAATAAGTAATTTGGATAACAATTTTTACCAGACTGGACAGCTTGAGGGAAGGGAGAGTCCATCATTGACACTACTAGGTCAATTATTTAAAAATATTGTGGGTATAACCCTTAACCTCCTCCCTGGACACGCCACTGAATATTATTGTTATTTTTGATTGCAAACCAAAATTATATACTTTTATATTTTTAACTAATAATCATTATTTATTTGTGTATTAAAAGTTGTTTATTGGAGGAACAAATATGAAATTTGTACATCTTAAAATTTTGAGTCGTAGTGGGCTGCAGATCTCCCAAAATGTTTACAATTACTAAGGTCTTTTTATAAGAATATAAAGTTCATAGGAGGATATTTTGCATCAATGTTTTGTACTTTTGATGTAATTAGAGAATTAGATCCTTCCTTACTTGTTCGATCTAAATGTGATACCTACATTAAATTTAAGGGTTTATTTTAATGTAATTATTTTTCTAATAGTAATTTAACAGTCATTTTAATAATTTATTTGATGATCTAGGGTTCGTTGAGTAACTGAGCAATCCAGTAGCGGATCCAGTGCTCATCTAAAGGGGGGGGGGGAATTTTAAAAAGCGTTCTTCCCACATTCGAAACCTCAACTAGGTTTTTAATCTAATAAAATTTAAACTTTTAAAGCAACAAGGAAGCAATATAATGTAATATAATATAATAACTATTTACAAATTACAAATTAGAAACTTTAAAATACAAATATATTATATAATATTAGATAACCAATAGTATATGGAACATGCATTGTAAAACATATTTTATTTTATTTTAAAATTATTCAAAATAAGCTAACCTGTAAAGCGTAGAGAAGTTTCTCTCTGCATAGGTAACACATACAGCCAGAGTATACCTAGTCATAACTGTCATAAGCAATTGTAATAAAAGTACCTATATAAAAATCAAATATTATAATTGGTATAATTGGCACAACCCATTTCAAATTGTAATAAGCAGACGAAAACCACAATGGTGGCGATAAGTTGATGACAACAGCAGCAGCGCGCATTTCTATATTATTATGAAAAACAGATCAGGAAGAATCTTATCAGAGAATGGGAAATAGTTTTACTCAGGCCCTTCATAAGTTATAACTAATGCCTTATGTGTGATTATTATAGTAGTATCAAAAAAATAAAAATATTAGTTTTCAGCCCAATTTTAATATATAAAAATAACGTAAAAAATACTGCTCAATAGGGGAGTGGGTGGCGATCACTCCCCTCATATCCACCACTGGAGCAATCCGACATTTATCTAATTATTATTTATTTTAGGAAAAAATGTTATACACAGAAGTTATATTGATTATATTTATATTCATTAAAGATATAGATAATTTAACTTAGTGAGGAGTTTAACATGAAATTGTTACATTAATTTAGTATATTTTTAGTACATACATAACTAACATATGTACCATATTATTATGAAGGTACTTACCTATTTATAATAGTAAAATTCATATATTTATAACGAAATTAATAAAATTAACACAAAATTTATTAATTACTTTGACAATATAATTGTGTTGAAGGGTAGTCAGAAAATATGATCATGAAAAAAACGTTCAAATTTCAATAGGAAAAAACGAATCTTCATTCATTTTTCTTAAAAACATGAACTTGTATAGAGTAAATTAAGAATTAAATATATAAATTCAATGTTGTATTAATACATTTTTGATTAAATATTATTTTAAGGTCATAAATATAGTTGCRTATTAATAAATTTAACTTAAAAACAATAACTTTGTTAATAACTAACAAAACTGGAGTACTTGACTGGTTTTAAAAAAGGTAAAAATGAATATAAATATGAATTAATTAAATGATGGCTAATTTTCTTGATAGACCTTGTAGATCTAGATGCTATCCATAACAATCTGTGTGTCTGTAATAGGTATACAATTGAAAATAAAACATTGCACTTCTATCTCAATTAATTATTATAACTAAATGATATAAGTAATCTTATACTCTTATACAATATAATATAATTGGGTACAAATTATAAAAATGAAAAAATTAATCAGACTTAAAATTATGTTTTGAAATTATAAATAATGAGACCATTGCTATACTTAAGTTGTTAGTGAGTAACTTGTTGCATGCTTGGTATTAATATCAATCAGACAGATCAGTAAAATCACTCCCTTCACTTGTGGATCCATCATATGGTTCAAAATACATATGTGGCTCGTTTAGCTTTCGAGGTCGAAGTTCTCTTTTAACACCATCAATTATATCCTCTGAAGAATCTAATTCAAGATCAGAATCAGCTGGTTCCTGTTTAATTCTAATAGGTTTTCTTGCTTCAATTTTAGATGTCAGTTCACTTTCTAAGACACCTTTTTTGGGTTTCTTACGCCGCCGTTCAGTAGACAATTTCTTTGAACAACCGCTCTCTTCTTCTTTAACCTTAACAAGTGGGTTGACCTGAATATTTGTTTGTAACTCTGCTTGGTCCTCTTGGTTAATTTTGTCTTCATTGTCCTTTTCTGTTTCATTTTCTTCATTGACAGTCTTTTCTATTTCATCAGTTAACACTTCTACGTTTTTAACACTTTCATCATTTTCTATGTCTTTTTCATTGTCATTAGCTTCTTCAAAATCCATTTTCTCATCAACAATTTCTTGTTTAATATTAATTTCAGCGCATTCTTCAGTCTGACACTCATCATTTATTAAGCTGTCCACTTTTACACCAGTATCATTTTCAGATGGTTCAGTTTTAATATTTACATTAGATGGTTCACAATCTTCGTAACTAGATTCTGAATCATCTGAAATACATGGGCTTAAATAATTATTGGATTCAGTAGCCATTGATTGCAATTGCCCAAGATAAGTGCCACGTTGGTTTAATAAAAAATGCAGTTCATCTTCTTCTTCAGACATGTGAGCAATTTTCTTTTCCTTTGTCCATGATTCATTTTGTTGTGTTTTAAAATTTAAAATCTAAAAACAAACATGTACTTATTATTCAACATTCAAATATATTGAAATCCATTTAAAACGTACCTCATTGTTTACTTTTTCAATTTTATTTTTTATAATTTGTTGGTAATAATCTTTACGACATCTTCCTAATAAATGTGTCAAGTGATTCTTGTTCATTTCTCTTAATTGAGATAATGCATTATCACACTTGACTATTTCTTCTAAAATTTCATCATTTTCCTAAGGTAATGAATTTATATAAAATATAAATATACAGCGAAAAAAATAATGTGATAAAAAAATTATAAATACATCATCAGCTATAGTCAAAGAAGGCAGCATTTCTTCAGGTGATGGTACCGGTTTAGAATTGCGACCCATGAGTCCCAATTTATGCAATTGTTTCTTGACATTTTGTTCTGCATAAAATTCCTTACAAACATTACTCATTTCTTGTGGTTTTTCTTCAACATCTTAAAATAAATTCCAAAAATTAGTAAAATTTACATGTAATTATTTTTTATTAAATATTTCACCATCAAACTCTGAAAAATGTTCTTCAGCATCCTCTAAAGACATATTTGAATGATTCATAAGAGCTGCTACAACTCTTTGATAAACTGGTGTATAAACGTTACCATCATTTCTATAGCAAATAATAAAATATAATAATAAATATTAATTTATGAGTGCATGTGTCAAAGAGAAATTTTCACGAAACAAAAATTAATTTGAAAATAATAATTTATTCATAAAATAGAAGAAAAAATTTTAAAGCTATAAATTATATGTTATTTAATAAAGAATGCAACTTAATTGTTTTAATAATTTTAATTTAGTGATTAAGAATTAAATTAGTGGAAAGCATAAAATTGAGTAGATTAAAAATATAATTTTGTATTGACAACATTTAAAAAAAAGTGAAAACCAGAATATTTGTTTATTTTTGAAAGTTAGTTATGTTACAACATATTCAATTAAGTAATTGCTAATTTCCAGTTTTCAAATTATTTATGATAATGATAAATAATATAATTAAATTAATAATCAGATTGTGCAGATTGTGTTAGTCGGGCCTAATAAATTAATTTTTTTTAGTTATTTTAAATAATTTTTAAAGTATTTAAAGTAAATCTAAGAAATATAATGAAGAAGTTAAACAGTTTTCAAAAACACAAAACAGTTTTTGATTTTTTAGATGACATTCTTTTTTAGTGTTAAGATAGACCAATAATAAAGAAAAAAAACTGTGTTGATAGTTTAAGGCCGTGCATTTTTTTTTTTTTTTTTGGTAATTTTTAGTTTTAGCTAACATAGTATTTAAGCGCTTGTTTTAATGGTTATATAAGTGCTTTAAGTCCCAAATTCTGGTGATAATAAACTAACTTATAGGTTATTTTAAACTAGATTTAAAATTTTGAATGGAAGAAATATTATGTTTTATAACTGCAAATTATTTTTGAAATATTTTGTTAATAGAAATACTTTGGAAGATTTGATTTATTAAACCTTACATGAATAATATTAAAGTTGGTAATTTTATAATTTAGAATCATTGATGATCACTATGAACACGTAATTTATTTTTAGATACTTTTTCCCATATTATACAGTGACTATACTCTATTTCAAATAAGATCAAGATCAAACTTCAGTGGCTGAGTTGTAGTACAACACTGCTGGATTTATAGAAAATTAACCAGATGAGATGACAGGCGGGTGTTGTTTGATCGAAAACTGATTGTCATTGAAGACTGATATTATTTGGAATAGAGTATAGTTGCAGTTTGGAATTCGGATATTACTATTTATGATAAAATGTTTAAGTCATCTTATAAAAAGTGTGAACTGTAATATTTTTAATATACACCAACAATTCAACATTCAAGATTCAACTTACATAGCTGAATTAGCTTTATCCACTAGTTCCACAACATCGGGGGCTATACGTTCAGCAAATTTAAGTTTTTTAGGTGGACGTGGAGAACATGATGATTGGGTTTTTTGCATTTCTAGTTCTTCTTTAGCCCAATTCTTTGCATAATGTTCACCCAAAGGTGGTATTTCATACAATTTTTTACTGGGATTATATGATTTAACTAGATCATCTAACCACTGAAAATTATAATATGTAATCAAAAGATGAAAAAAAAATTGTTTATATATTCTTACTTTAAGATCTTCTTTCTTTACATGACTCAGATATGGTTCAACAAGGGACCAAAATTWATTTGCTGATTCAGTTTTGCTTGGTGGTAGCTMCTAACAAAAATTGATAAAAATTAAAAACTATWTAAGTGTTTTATACATAAATGTTCATTTTTATATAAATAGATTAGTTAAGAATATTAATAATGAACCATTTTTAGGCATGCATATTAAGCCGCCAAACCAGTAAGCACTATATCATTGGTTGTAATCTTCATGTATTGCTGTCTTATCACATCATCAGCTAGCACTAATTTGTAGGGTAGAAGTTAATTCATAGGTGTGGAAATGGGTCTAAGACAGTTTTTGTTCTGAGTGGTGTACACTTAACGCAAACAGAGTATAGTAATTTAAATAAAAAATACATTATAATTACTTTGCTAGTAGGATCAAATTCAACCTTCATCTTACGGCATTCGTTCACAGGTGATATTTCTGCAGCAGCTCTTGGTTTCTGTAAAAATGTATACAAATTATAGTATTCACACATTATTGAAAAAAAAAGGTGTAGTGGCCGGGTGGATTAATGCGACGGTTGCAACGCGCACCACGGTTTGAATCCCGGTCACAGGCGGCATTGCTTTCTGGGCAGTTCACACTGTCTGGAAAGAGAGGTCGTCGCCCCCCACCCGGACATGGCAGAAACTACGGGTGCTCACTAGAAATTCTGTTAAATAGGCGTCCGACCTAGGCCTTCATGCCTACTTCTGGACATAGCGCCATACAAAAAAAAATGATAAAAGACCTTCCATTTTCTTATAGACACTTGGAATTTCATTTTAACTATTGGCACTTCCAGTAGTATTGGACTAAGTAGTGCTGAACCATTTTTAAAGCACTGGGATAAACCCTGTTTGAAAGTATCACCTACCCACCCACCCAAGACGGATAAAGGGGGGTACCTCTTTCAAAAAAGACTATAGTTCAAGTTTTAAATTTTAAGTTGTAAGGGTATAATATATCCTTAATACTATTTTATATTTACTCTATAATATGTAAAAAAATCAATCACTCACGACCTACCACCTAAAAATGTTTTGGGGTATTAACACTAATAACCTCACTAGCCTTACATGATCGGCGTCACTGGGTGCCTCAATTTCATGTGATGCTCACTTTAAGATGAATACCAAAAATTGTTTTATATACTTTAATTTTTTATATTACAGTATAATATTTATATAATTATTGATTTGTTATTTATTTTAATAATAAGCATTGAATCTTTTAGAGTATAATATTTGCGCATTTCACACAAAACCCTATTTTTGATCAATGAAAATTAATAAAAATATTCCTTAAAATAAATAATGAATTATTTAGGCAATATTAAGCATTAAATAATTAATACAATTTTCATACTACATAAACTTACAATTGTAGGAAGTTTGGGATTTTTAGCCATCCTATGAAGGGAACGAGCAAACTGCATGGATGCAAAAGTGCTCAGTTCGTCTCTAATTGTATTTCTGCGTATGATTACATTAGTTAACATTGCTTCAAGTTCCCATTGGACATGATCCAATTCATCATCCGTCATTACATAATCAGATTTACTGTCACGGCTCAGCACTAAAGCAATAAAAATATTTATTAAACATCTATAAGAATAACAAAAATTCCTTGATATTGTTTTTACATGACAGAAAAGTAGAATTTTCTGGAATAATAATAGGTTTTAATCGAGGTAATGATAGCTCTCTTTCTTCATTGTATTCAGCATGTTTTTTTCTGGTCGGTGACGTCCGCTGTTTGAAAGACACATTACCATCTGTAGACGTACCCTCAGCGTCGGTATCATCTGCAGTGGCAGTGTCTGGAGACATAGGTTGGCGTGGTTTAGGACCTCTTCTTTTTGATACGCCTCTGCCACGACCTCTTGACCCTCCACGTCGTTTCCTTCAATAAAAAAATAAAATGTAATTACACTAATATAGATTTTTAAGTGTTTGAGATGAACTTCAATATGAAAATTAGTAAACATTACACATATCAGCAATTATCATTGGGGAACTTCAGGGAATTAAGTCAATCAGAGATTTCAATACCCTCCCAATTCCAAATAGACATCGGGTTGTAGCCATACAAGCATTGGCGCAACTAGGGGGGTGCAAAAGGGTCTTTAGCACCCCCAAGTTCTAATTTAGCACCCCTTGATATTTTAGATCTAACTATTATAATTATAATGAAATAACATCAATTTTATGTTTTTAATAATATAGCACGCCACGTTTTAGAGGCCTAGTTGCGCCTATGCATACAAGTGACACAGTACTTGGATCGTGCTAGCATTAATTAAAAAAAAAATGGTGCTGTTTCAATATGCGATCTACAGAATCTATGTCTAATATCGCCCAATGTCAAACATGAAGCTATTGGACAACTTGTATTTCTCATGTGTTAACTTACTGTCATTGCTTTTAAACAAGTTGGATATTTCTTTCAACTTGAATATCTCATCTTTGATTACCTTTTATTATCTTTACCTTAAATATTATCGCTGTAGGTTTAATAATAGATGTCTTAGCGAGGCAAGATCAGAAATTCATTATGACGAATGATCTGCATATACCAAGCCATAAATGTGTCTCATTATCAGAGATTTTGTACACAGTACAGTAAATCATAAAACCTAATTTCTCAATGTGCAATTACAGGAGCCCACACGCATACATTTAGAGGTCATGGTTAGACACAAAAACTGAATTATTGAAGAAAATGAGTGATGATTCTCTTAAACATTCGCAGTCTTATCATTATCATTATTTCTGGCGACTTAACCATCAAGACAGTCCTGACCATTTCTGGTCATATTAGAATAGATTCAAAGCGTGTTAGCAATTAAATAAAACGCGATTAAAATGATGTATGTAGAGCGCATATCGAATAAGTATCAAAAACTGGTATTGGTAACTGGTTTTGAGGATAAAACTGATGAATATTATTGATACAAAATGATGTCTTAACTTACTTTGGTGACATTATTAATTTCGTACTGTTTTAACAATTGGTTTTGAATTTGAATTCAACAGTTTGCTCTGAAATATAAAAAACGTAAAAACCACTGTTGATGATGAGGAAATAAAATTAAACTGTAAAAGTGTGACAATTTGCTAGGTATTCAGCAATTAATAATTGATAAAGATAATGCCGCCAACTTGCCGCTGAAGCCTGAAATGCAATTTGCTCTGAATACTCTGAAAGTCTGAAGTAATACTGCGGTAGTGCGGTAGCCGGTAGGTTAAATCATGTTATGTGATCATAATAAACAAAATGTACGTGATAAGAATCAGTGTGGCACATCAGGAAAATGTAAATTAATCAACCAAACAATAATAATAATGTATTTTTTTTATATCGAAATAATATACTAAATATAAAATATAGTATAAGAGACTTTTTGAAATTAAAAATATACAGTTTAAATTTAAAATGATCATAACTTATTTAAAAATAATAATATCAATAATAATCTATGGATGAACACAAATAATAATCTTACATTTAAATTATTTTAGTGGGTCTGTTCAGTGTTCAGTCTTATTCTAATAATTAATATCATAAGTACACTACACTACATTACACAGTCATTATTAAACTGGTGAATGAAAATTCACCTTGTCTTGTCGTATGATGTCGTACTCTAGTACTTGTAAAAGTCGGAGACAACACATGGCAGTCACATGCGTATACGTCGTTCTTCTAATGACTTAAATGATTCCTTAATTCTTTGATAACTCGGTGGTGTAGTATATTCTTTTGTGTTTAGAATTATTCAATGATGCCCACTGGCCACTGTGTTCACTCTTCACTTATTCTGTTATTCAGTGATTTATCCATGTCGGTGAAGACGGTGAGGTGAGGTCCGACATCAAACATTTGCCAATATTATAAAAATAGACCAAGATTTTTATAATATACCAGGGTGTTATATAGAATACCAATAGGTATTGAATTATTTAATATTAAAAATTAATAAAATTATAAATTATAATTTAGTGCTAAAATGTCAGATTATATTGGAAAAAGTTATAAATTTATAAACTGCTTTCTAATATTATAGATTATTAGAATATGTTGAGTAAAATAATGATAAACGCAAAATTAATACGTTTTAACTATAAATAACATTACGAATTTTTTTCCAGCAGTGATCTATAATTAACGTTACCTATTTATTATTTTCAAATTAAATTATGTCATGTTTATTATTATATTTTAACAGTGAAAATTTTCGTGCCAAGTTTACAATCAACTTTTTTCATTACATACCTGAAATTCCGGCCCAAGTTTACAACAAAAAAGGTTACCTCGGGTCAGTGACGTACGCAGAAAAAAGATTTTAAGGGATGTTTTTGAAAATCAGTTATTAAAAAGTAGACAATTTTTATTTTGCTTTAGCTGGTTTTTCACACACAATGTAATATTATACATATCTATTAAAGTTTAATATGACAATCAACATAAAAATAGAATAAGTAAATAAACATATGAAAGCCTAATATTTCGGGTGGTGTTTGTGCACTCAACCATCCCTCTCCTTGAGTACGTGCCTGTCACAGGCCCAGTTTACATTTGCCCTTTTTTGAAAGGGAGGATGTGAGTTTTATACAATAAAAATAATCCAAAAGATGGGGGAGTAAATTACACCCCTCTCCCACCATCAGTACGGTCCTGTGTGTGGTGTACTTCTAAAAAAAATAGGCTGTAGTGCAGGACCGTCGTTAAGGGTGGGCAGTGCTGGCTGGCATTTGCCTAGGGCCTCGCGCTTGTAGGGGCCTCGCAATTATCGCACTTAAATTTGATACCAAAATATTGTTCAAAATTATTAAATTTTTTAGTTTTGTATTGATATTATTTGTTTAATCGAATGTTTAGGTATACAAGGTACATTTGTATTTTGTATGGTGACAAATATTAAGCTGTTGAGTTTTAATTTATATTGGGTATTGTAGTTTAGTTTAAATTTAGTGCAATACCGCCAGTACCTAAACATTATTTTTAATATAGTATTTATATTTTATATATTTTATATTTATATTATTTTGTCGTTGTAGACGTCTTGTAGGCTGTAGCCCACACTCTTACCAGTGGTACGTCAAGAATCAAGATAACGTAATAAATAATAATCGCTATTAACGACTAACCAGTACGGCTATACGTCGTGCTGTACGCTCGTCGCTCGTAGATATTAATAGCTATGCCTATTAGCTTTATGTTTATATATATTATATACATATATTTATAATTGATTATTATAGTATAAATAGTATAATGTAATATTAAGTCAATAGAATTCGACGAGTTGTTTGGTTGTTACACATTTCTATTTCGTGATTTGTCAGTCGCGGCAAATGGATCCGGATATAATATTAAAAAATGATCTTTTGATATAATTATATAAACAAATTATAATTATTTAACCTCGGATTATGTAGATGATCTATGATCTATTGATCTACATAATTAACATAATTATCATAGCCGTGAGGGCCATACAAATAACAAATAATATGTTGCTTGGTGAGGGAATGCACGTGCGGGAACGCACTGAGTGTACGTCTCGGCTGCAGTTACTAGTTCCCCGATGGGTGACCACCCGGGATTTTCAGCAACATAATATCTTTGCTACATATACACAAATACTTGTCACAACTCTACTAATTCAAAAACCTACAAAAAAT